CTGGATTGGAGGATTTTAGTATTGTTGTGTAAATTACACTGCATTGTGCCTCCTTTGGATTTAGCACCTGGAGTATTTCTAGGAGTGACATCAGCTTGAGAATTCAAACTCCTCAATAGAATGTTAAATACGAGACACTTGTTGCTCTTTGTGTTGTTACTGTCCTAGTGGGATCAGATCTTTGCCATTATGCTGCATTTTGGTATTTATCTGTCATTATACATCATATTCCAACTATGGATGAAAATGTTCACAACACTTCTTTTTATACCATGTGTGATTACTTCAAATATCTAATAATATCTATTTGTTCTCACTAATGCATCTACTACATTCATGTCATTGATGAACCATGTTTTTTACCACTATCTAAACATCTTTGTTATTTTTTTCTAGATGATATTTTGGTATATAGAAAAAACCTTAAATTATCATATTTATCATTTACAAGAATTACTTCAAATTTTGAAAGAGAATGAATTATATATCAAAGTTTCAAAATGTGATTTTGGAAAAGCAAAATTTTATGACATGGATCATAAAGTTATGATAGAAAAAATCTAAATAATGAATGAAAAGACTAAAAAAATTCAACAAATGTATAACAATTATGGATCAAATTCAACTTAAAATCTTTTTATGATTCATAGGTTTTTATCTTTAATTTATGAAAATTTTTGATTGTCTAACTCAAATTTTAACAAATATGCAAGTCAAAGTACAAAGTTGAAGATGAAAAATAGTTCAATTTAATTTTACAAGTCTTGAAAGATGGTTTTTTACATGCATCCATACTCAAGTATTATGAATATAATTGAATCTATCAAGTTAAGTACTCATGCGTTTGGTATAACAATCGATGGCATACTCTAACAAAAATAAACACATGGATGGCATTGAGTTGTTTTTTTCTCTTTAAAAACATTGTGTTGACAACAAAACATTGCAAAAATTACTGGTAGATCAATAGTTTGTGGTGATCTTCAACCCTAAATCATTGATTTATCAAGAAATTCAAAGAAATTTGTCAAAGCAACAAATTTGATAAGCACAATGATATAGTTTAATCTTAGTAAATCATCTTGAATAATTTGAGTTAAAGAAGAAACTCAAAAAAAAAATTTGAGGTCATAAATATTTCAAAATAGATTTTTATTCAATGAAAAGTTTATTAATGATATGAATCAATTGAAACCAAATTGAAATCTATCTAATGGATCTTTAGTGATTTAAGAATTTAATAGATATGCAACAAGTATGTTGTGTCTTAAAAGTGAAAAGCTTTGTAATCATCTTTAGTTAGTTAAAATTAAAGTAAATGTTACTTTAAATGGAAATGAAATTACATTATACTGGATTATCAATATGTTGGCACATCAACAATCCATGTGTTTGGTAGGTAGAATAAATGTGTTTGTTGAAAACAAAACATGTCAGCAATAAATGTGCATGTTAGATAAAGATGGAATGTGTTAATTAGTTTGTTACTTGAGAGAAACACGTCATCAATCTATATACTTGTTATAATTGTAAAACCTAGAAACTCAGTGACGGACTCAAGCCAACAACCAAATCATCAACATAAGACACCAACGTGTATAACTTGATTCATCCTCAAGGACTACGTCCACAAAGGAATACGCGCAATAAACTCTACTGCTGAACTTTACTGAAAGCACCACAAAGAATACTTACAACACTGAAGCATCATGGTATATATATACCTAAGATACTAATCTTAGTTATAAATAGCTACACATAAGACTACTCCTTAACCAAAGTTAAATCTCAACAATCTACTCCTTAACTTGCGTTAAGAAGTCCTAGTAACCTCTCTAACCTTTATTATTATTCTGCGAAAAATTCTAGACAAAGTTAACTAGAAATAAGCCATAGTCATAACAAGATAGAGTAATAATTTACAGATGTAACTCAACAATCTCACCTTAATTCGTGTTAAGGAATTTCAATAACCTCTCTAACCTATATTATTATTCTCATAACATGATAGAGTAATAATATACAAAAATAACTCAACAATCTTCACTTAACTCGTGTTAAGGAATCTAAGTAAACTCTCTAATCTATATTATTACTTCCACAACATGATATAGTAATAAAGATAACTCAATAATCTCATTTTAACTCGTCTTAAGGAATCTCAATAACCTCTCTAACATATATTCTTACTCCATAGAAAGTTTTAGATGGAAATTTAACACAAGGTCTCTCTTTAAACGAGAGATCACCAAAACTAAGACGTAATCATAACAAAATATACTAATAATATACAAAAGTAACTAAAAACCCTATCTCTCGTGCTTCCTATGCACAAGTTGTGAACTATGCAGGTTGTGCAGCACAACATACATAGTAGCACATTGTCGCTTGAAACTCTCCAAAGAAATAACTTTGGTCAATGCAACAATAAAATTGAGTTTACCGTCGATCTTGACTGGTTCAATTGTTTTCTTAGACATTGCTTGTCTAATAAAGTGATACATGATGTAGATATACTTCATTCTGCTATTCATGACTTGGTTTGCAGCCAAATGTAAAACACTCCGGCTATCACAATGAAGATTGGTCATGTCATATGGAAATCTCATCTCCATGATAAGTCTATCCAACCAAATAGCTTCATTTGCTGTTGTCAGATACTCCACTTTTGTTGTTAACTGAGCTACGCACTTCAACAAGATGGATCTCCAACTAATGATTTCACTGCCATGTGTAAACACATATCCGGTTGTAGATATCTTTTTGTCTAAATCTTGTACTTAATCAACATCAACATAGTCAAACAAGTATTTGGCATTGTCTAATAATCCATCAAACAATAACTCATAATCCATAGTACTCTTCAGATATCTCATAATTCATTTCACTACTTCCTAGTGAACTTTCCCTAGATTCGACATATACTTGCTTAACTTACCCATTGCCAATGCAATATCAGGCCTATTGCACGCTATTAAATACATGAGGTTGTCTATAGCTTTTTCATGGAAAACACATTACATTTTTTCTTTTTTCACAGCATCTGTAGTATATTGAGCTGCGGAAAGTTTAAAATGTGCTAGCAGAGGAGTTCATACTCCTTTCGAATCGGCCATGTTGAACCTGTCCAGTATACAACAAACATACTTGATCAGACTCAATCATAGCTTTTTCTGTTCAAAATCCTTATAAATATCCATGCTTAATATTATCTTCGACTTCTCATATCCTTCATTTTAAAATGCAGACTTCAACTGACTCTTGCATTTATTGACATCCGATTGATTCTTTACCAAGATGAGCATCTCGTCAACGTAGAGTCCTAAAATGATGAGATTGAACATCTCATCATTTTCATGTAGATACAAGGATCATACACGCTTCGTTGAAAATCTTGTGAATCATAAACTCATCAAGTCGGGTATTCCACAACTTGTGAACTTGCTTCAGTACATAGAGTGTTTTCAGCAATCTACAAACCAATCTCTCTTGGCCTTTGACCTTAAAGTCAACTAGTTGTCTCATGTAGATTTACTCGTCTAATTATTCATAAAGAAAGGTTGTAATCACATCCATCTGATCTATAACAAGACTGAATGTTGCGTTCAATGCACATACCAGACGAATTGTATCATACTTTGCTACAAGCAAAAACAACTCCGTTGTAATCTATCCATCATGTGTGAAACCTCTAGCCACCAACCTGGCTTTGAGGATTGAATTCTCGAGGTTGAAAATGAACCTTGTATATTGTTACTATACTTGTCAGCAACCAGTGTAAAAACTTGGCGTAATAGATTCACCAAGTAGATCTGGTGTGCATTTCGATAGTTGAAAACATAAAAATTTGTGATTGCGATTTGATGATGATGTCACAATGATGTATCACAAGTTTAACAAGATATCACAATGATATGTGCCTAAATGATAAATGTGACTTTGGTTTCACATTAGTGCCAAGATGTCTTTTATAATAAGTGGAGATGTTGTACTGATACTTCATATTCAAGTGTTAAGTTAATGATATGCAACATTTCAGCGCTTCATATTTCCTTTCATTTCTGATCCAGAGAGTGTTAGTATATGAGTGTAACCAGTCTACGGATTCCATCTAGGTTGCGCGCGAGACTCATAACTCTCACGGTCAAACCCTTTCATCAGGAATAATTAGGCAATCGATATTAGTCGGTCGACCAAAAAATTTCAATCGTAACAATACAGAGAAAGCTTCCACAAGACGCTGTGCAGACTTGAAACTTGTTCTTCACTAGTTTCATCAGGTCAATGAACACAAGTTCGAGGTACCGTACTGCAGTATGTATTTTCATAAAAAGTCTGAAAAAATACTTCTATGCTTCATCGTTAAGCCTTCTAACATCAGTAAGCCGTAGATAACCGATGCCGGAGTTGCTGCCATAGAGGGGAGACGCATTTGATCATTTATATTCTAGGAGTCGATGCCGAAGTTGTTGCCATAGAGGGGAGACGCATTTGATCATTTATATACTAGGAGTCGGCGTTTGCACTGCGCTCTCTCTTTTCGCCACAAATGGAACTCTAAGTGTAGTTTCCCTTGTAGCGAAAAGAAAAGACGCACTGCGTCGTATCATGTACCCCACTACAATCTAATGGAAGTTAGAATGTTAGATCAGCCTGCTCGATAACATTAAAGAAAAACTCATTGCAATATTAAGACACTGGACAACAAAGTTGGATAACACGTGGTAGAGCCAAAACTAGTGAAGATCGTCACTTCCTTTCGGGATTTTGAGAACAAATTTCCCTCTCTGGAACTATAAGTTGAAACGAAAACCGACCGCTGCGAAAGAGGTGATTGGCCGCACAACAACACGGACGGATTACGAACAGAAAACTCTTCTGCCCAGTCCTGGTCACACCATGGTCGCATGTGAAGAGTTTTTGCGCTCATCCTGTGACCTAAGGCTAAACGTGGAATAACAACAACATGCACTGTAACATTCCGCATTGAACTTTGAAGTAGGGAAGAAAGGCCATTTTTTAATTTCCTACGAAAATCGTTCTCAGATCATATCGGGGTCATAATCGAACCGAACTCAAAGGGACATGACCAATCAAAGTTTAGAGTCAAAGTTTGGAGGAACCGAGACCATCGAAAGAAGGAAGTATCGGAACTTAGGCCAAACCATTTGCAAATTTCGATGACTCCTGTGACTATTCTTCTTTAACAAAAAGTTGGTTGGAAACATAGACCAAAAATAAGACTAATGCATACATCTCCGATGAGCTTTAGAATCTTACAGCTAGCTCCAACAAAGAATGTAACTCTTTTGTACAAGTTTACCTACCGTATAACCCAACGTAATATACAGATTCGGGTTTGCTACGACTCACCATTCTTGGCGGCCAGTATTTTCTCAACTAGTCCTGACATTTTCTCCCAAGCTATGGGTTTGCACAAATATCCATCTAGACCAGTCTCCTCCATGGGTCCACTTCCGGGAGTGTCAGCAGATAGAGCGTAGATGGGTACCCTTGATACTGGTGCTGGAAGACCACGGATAGCCTTAGTTGCACTCAAACCATCAAGTATAGGCATTTGCACATCCATAAGAACCAGGTCGAACGCTTTCTTTTGCACCGCCTCCACAGCAAGCTTTCCATTTCCAACGACGTCCACCTGAGCATAAGAATGTAAGTACCAGTCAGGAAAAGACGAGATGATAACCTTCATCTCAAGGCAGCTGAACCATCTTCACAACTCAAACTCGAAACTTGGTGGATTGACAACCACTAAAAACAATACGTGAAACAAGTCATGCCAGCCCAAAAAACAAAAGGAAGAATTGCTCAAAGAACTGGCCTCATGAAACTGAGCGGGATATTGCGACTCACCACGTGTCCGTAGTGACGAAACATCTTGCGAATCAATAGTTGATTGACGATGTTGTCCTCTGCAACTAACACGTTAACTTGTGTGCTCTTCTTTGGAGAAGTCTTCGATTGTTGCGATGAGGCCTGACTGGTGGAAGACTGTGTCGGAACAGGTTTCTCTAATGGAACCACCGACTCCACAAGCACCTCAACTGCCTCTTCGGCAGGTAGCAGAGGCACGGTCACAGTAACTGTGGTCCCTTCTCCAACTTTACTCTCAAACTGAAACTTTCCTCCTAACAATCCCAGTAATCCTTTGCAAATGGCAAGCCCAAGACCAGTTCCTGCTGCATCCCTGCAACCAACGTTCAGTTTTTTAGAAAACCGAACTAGCAGTTCAGCTCATCTGACAAGCTGCACAAGATGGTCGTAGAAGAAACTGAACAAAAAACGAAACTGAGAACGTGCATAGATCTCTACCTTCTCTGGCTCCCTGCTTGAGATGCGAGAAAGAGCTTTCGAAGCTGCTCGTCTCCGATACCAACACCTGTATCTGAAATCTTTACCTCCAGCCAGACTTTTTCGTCGGGTCTTCTGAACTCCTCTACTCTCTCGCTATTCGCAGTATATATTACACCATCGCATACTTTACAAATCTGCAAACCTCCAGAGGCACGGGACTCCTTTTGGTCATTTGCGTCTGAGGCAGATACTGAGCAAAAATTGTCCCCTGAATCATTAGAAGACACTGTGGGATTCCTCTCTTGACTTCCTAATCCTGATGTAATGGAAGGTGCTGTGTATTGTTCTACGGCTTTTTTTATCACGCTAAGGTCAGGAATGGGAAGATTCATGCATGAACGGTTGGTAGGATCAAAGGGCTTCACTTGGACTGGTACAGATGAGTCTGATTCGTTTTGAGAAAAGATTTCCCTCGCACCTGAGGCTACTATACAGTGTGGTTGACCACAGTCCTTCGGAGGTTTCTTTTGTGACATTTTGAGATGTTCTGGGAACAGTCTAGGAGATTTGGCAGACCAGAGCCCTCGATCTTCTGATGGAACACTGATAGTAAGCCTTTCGGCATAATCCGGCAATTTAATACCTGATGGCTCCGCTCTTAGTACAACTTCATTAGAGACGGTCAGGCAACTGGAAACAGAGCTTATTTGCCCAACTGAGGCAATTTCCCGCTTGCTGAACTTTTCACCGGAATGGGAACTCCCAAAAGCGTCTGAAGCGAGTCGTTTCCTGCTCATTTTCAAGTCTGAAGACGTTCTCTCGCCGCTTGATAGAATTTTTTGTCGGAAATGACTCGTATACTCCCTCGGAGTTGATACGCTCGGAAGGTTAGAGCCGCAAGAAGCCTCAGCATGGGGCGTAGACGCTCCTCCGGCTGAGCAATCTACCGTCAAAACTGAACGACCATTGAGTGCAGTGGTTTGTTTGATGGTGCAGTTGCCTTGTCGAGCCTGTAGTATCTGGCTTATATAGTCACTTCTTTTCACAGGTGATGACGAGGTCTCGGACACGGTGGCATCGAAACATTGGGAATCCAAATAACGCCAAGAAACAGTAACGCAGCCGCGTTCAGTGAATTTAATGGCATTACTGACCAAGTTCTTCAGTATCTGTTGGAAAAGCCCAAGCAAAATATAGTAAATATCCAACTAATAGGGTACACATGAAGCACATTAAGTAGACTTTTGTGACGATAGGACTTTAAAACTGCGCTTTCAGTTGATACTGTTCACAACAACACAATGATTCCTGACAGAAAATGATTCACAGGTTACAATGTCACTACAAGTAGATAGGTTGGACAGGTAAAGAACGTCATACCTGTCGAAGACGAACAGGATCGCCCCTGACAACATTCCTGGCACCCGGTTCTGAGACCATTTTTAGCTCCAGGCCCTTCTCCAGAATATCCTTTTTACTCAATGCATAGATCTGAAGGGTTACCACAAGAAAGCGTTAGTGACATGCTTCCGCTAACTTTTGACCACAGAGGCATGCATATTAAAATTAAAAATTAAAAATTTGATCCTCCTCAAAAATAAGTTCTACTTTCATAGTCCTCTTCGATCCAGGAGCTTGACCATGCATTTAGACATATACAGTAATGGTGATAGACGTAGGGACGTTGTACCTGTTCAAGGGTGTCACTAAGAGAGAAGTCAATCTCTTCAAGAATGAGGCGACCTGCTTCTATCTTGCAGAAGTCTAGGATATTGTTTATAACTTCCATCAGCCCTTCGGCAGACTCCTGCATAATCTTCATAAGACCTTGCTGCTCTGGGACCAGCGATGTCAGCTGCAACAAGTCCAGCATCCCAAGCACGCCTGCATCGAAACAAAGTTCAAACTTAAAATGTACGGAAACGAAACAAATCAAGAAGCAATACAAACAAAAGACAATCTCTCTTAAAATGTACGGAAACGAAACGAATCAGCGAACAAGACAAATCTCTCTCTATAGAAACTTACCAGTCATGGGAGTCCGCAACTCATGACTCATCATAGCAAGAAACTGGGATTTTCCCTTGTTCGCAGCCTCTATAGCCTCTTCGGCAGCCCTAGGTGCAGTAACATCTTCGTACAGCCAGAGACGCCCATGGGCAGCATCACTGCTCACTGGATATGAACGCACATGAAGAACGCGCCGTGGATCCTTCAGCTCCCAGTCTTCCTCGATCTCCAACTCGTCATCGTCAGTAAGCAGTCTCATCCAGCTGAAAGACAACATTGCGACTGAGATACTAAACCACTAATGACCGGATTAGATTTATTCAGACAGACGAAGAGACTAGTCAAAACTGGAATTGAAAGAACTCGTGATGAAGGGCCTGTCAGAAAGTTAACACTTTACAGGTTATCGAGGAGTGACCTCAGCATGAGCATTGCAGTTTTTTTTTGAAGTTCTATGAGATAATTCTCGTACAGACATCCACATTGCAAGAAATGGCAGGTCCTTACTGCTGAGGATCTGTTCGAGTGCTGCAACGCTCTGTCAGCTTCCTCATCGCCCCGGCAACCTTACTAGGGTCAACCTCACCATGAGTTGGAAGTTCTAAGAGGGCGGCCGCCGCAGGATTGATAACGACTTGGGCACACCCGTCGTCGACGAACACAACCGCCTCTGGCATCACCTTCAAGATGGCATCAAACCGTCTGCCAAGGTGTTCGTACTTCCTTGCATTGATGCGATTGGACAAAAGCATGGGAAGGGACTGCACGGCGTCCGCAAAGACATCCTCGGCAGTTGCTCGGACACTGTCGTTCCAAAGCCCGAAAAGTACTCCATTGTATCTGTAGAAATCACACAGGCGAGAGAATCAGGAAAACATTCATGCTTTAAGAAACACATCCAATGAGGCCTCGATATACAGAAAATGATGAATTCATACAAACTTCTACAGGGATTTCCATGCTTGTAATAGGTGCCAGAACTGTTTGACTACAAGTCGCTGTAAGATTCAGAGTAGGTCGGCGGGACCCTTTACACCATGTCGTTCCTCCAATTTAGTACGTATGGTCCATCATGCCCACCTGAACTAGGAGAATATACTGAGGTCCTTATAGGTTTTGATGTTTGAGAACTCACTTTTCCAACGAAAAGTGGTAAGCCAGAAAGGCTACAGGCCGTCTCCCAAGTGCACGGGTGAATTCCACAGGTAGATCCAAATTCTTCGTGCTCGTCACCTGCACGTGGTGATAATCCCAAATTAGAGAAGGTTCTTTCTTCTGTAAAAAGCATGAAATCCTTCCCTGGAAAATCAAAGAACTTATAGAAAGCTATCCGGTCTTATGTAGGAATGTTACTACGCAAGAACTCGAATTAAACTGTCTCAACTCATTAAGTCTATCCCAATGCCACCACAGTATACTGTAAGCGCGAATCATCTACAGCGAGGCACAGCAGAGACGAAGAAGTAAGGATTCGTAACACAGACTACACTGGGCTTATTGACGAACATGATTCAGTGTCAAGTAGCTTAACAAATCATGGACACATAATCGGGTTCAATTGACATCTTTGCCCTCCATATGGTAAGATACGCGTAGTTAACAAGTAATGAACTTCAGCCGGGTCATTCTCTCACTTGTCGGCTCACTCAAATTATTTTGAGAGATCTCAACGCTAGAATGTCGTCGGTACGAAGGTCACTCTGCATGTCTTACTTCGTTCGATAACACTTCAATTAAGCACGAAACTTCGTTGGTCACACAAATGATAAAATCGTCGAGCCATGTACGTTGCTAGCATGAGTCGCTAAGCTTACAAGGTAACCATTACCTTCCCGTTGATGTGCGACAACAAATCAGGCCCGACCTCCAGAAACTCAGCAAAATTGAGTGACTTCGGCAGGTAAAGGAGAGTCTCAAGTCCATAAATCGACCTGTCCTGGAACAGTCCTACTACCACCGCATCTGCCTTCGTCCCGGTAGCCACAATCTGCAAGACGGAGTATGGCAAGTGTACGAATGGTGTGCTGGGTGACTGAGGAGGGGAGTCCCAATGCAATTCCTTCTTTGTCGGACAGTTGGTGAGCTTAGGTGATGGAGGAACCTCTTCAAAGATGGGAGCGCCCTCTTGAATCAAGCTAAAAAAGTCGGATACACCAGCGCCTTCCACACTACCACTACCGGGGTCCTGATCCATGGATACGGCTCCTCCATCTCCCCAACCAAATGACTGCGCCCAGGGTTCTGTTAATCCTGCACCAGCGCCTATATCCCCCGTAAGAAAACCTTGACCGTAAGCGAGCAATGATGACATCGACAATATCTCAAATTAACTTCACTTTCGGAATAGTGGAAACCACCATCTATCCCCTTATAAAACATGAAGCTAATAAGCAAGAACCAGCCGAACGCTGGCGTCCATCTCCGCCCAATACGAGAGATCTTTGAGCCTTGAAATGCACTCTAGAGTTTCCTCCAACTGGGTCACTGTCTGGTATCTCAGTAGAGTTCTGAACCAAGTGTTTCCAATACGACTCTTTCCATAGCCTTCACACTATAATGATGGTTGTCAGCCTGCACTTGCCAAGCTCTCAAAGGTATATTTCTCTCACTAGATTCACACACTGCTTACTAGAATACAACGTATGGCAAAGCTGAGAGAGGTCTACTCTACCTTTTGACCCACTTACGGTCTTGCTGCCACAAACAGAGAGTCGGACCCCATGATCAACTAAGCTAAACTTCAGAGGTCAGCTAAAACACTCTGTGTAAGCCTGTCCACAGTGTGTGCACCATGGGCCGATTCCATATCTGTAAACCTTCTTGGTATTCCTGCCTAGGTGATGCCACTTCCACGGCCCAGTACTGCCACCCAATTCCGCAGCACTCTACTCTTCACTGATCCTATCATCCGGTAGTCGACCAGCGCAGACCCAACGAACGCGCTTCCCCGATAGACTTGTCCATCCAACAGCGTTTTCGAACGATAACGACCCTTCGACAACGTCTTGGTTTGTGAGCTGAAGTAGGCAGGAGGAACACGAGACTCTTCGTCCCTTCGGTTGGATCAAATTCAGACGGCTGTCACGGGATAATTGTCGTGACGGCCTAGACTTCGAGCGCCTTTCAGGAGAAATTTGTTTTCAGAAACCTCTGAAGTATCAACTCCTCGTCGACAACGAACACACACAGCACAACGAGGCTCACTCGCTGTTGGTGCTGAAAACCATTCCGATCACGCGTGTCCAGCATATAGTTGCATTCAACCCCCGACCGTGGCTTACTCACAGTGATCGTTCGCACGGGCAGCTCAGGCTTACCCCGCTCTTTCATAAAATAACTGATATCTTGCTTGGCATTTCCTCTGACTTATAATTACACAGAATCACGCGCTACAATCTATCTCAACGGAAATCTTTTCACTCGCTAAAGAGAGTTATCCTCTCTGTGTTTCTGATCCGCAAGAAGATCTTAGAGACTCTCCGAGATAGGCATTGCAGATACTATCTCCAACTTATTACCGTCCGGGATATCTCGACCACGGAGGAAGCGAGACAGAGGATAGAAAAAACTAAGAGTAAAACGATCGGCAACGAAACTCAAGTGCAGTAACAACCAGACAATTTTGATTTTTTTGTTGAAGGGGAGACCTTCTTAGCAGATCGGTAACCACGGAGCGCAGTGATGGTCCATCCAGGTCCAGGTCTTCCAGTCGAGGAGGCCCTGGTCTCTGGGACCCAGCAGCTGCAGATGTGCAAGAACAATATAGAAAAGCCGGGCCAATCCATTCAACCACGTGTTTCCATCCCCGCAGATTCAACAAGAGGACAAGGGCAGGCTTCATGCTTTGCTTATCTGTGGGAAAGGACACAGGTACTGTAACTCCTCTCTATTTTAAGTATATGTTTCTAAGAAATCCAGGGTACGCGACCCAACACACTAGTGTCTTCTCGCACCTCTGCCTTCCCGTCCCTGCTCTTAACCCCACATTTCGCGCTACCTCCTTGTCATCCTGGACTGGACTGGCTCGCTGTGGTTATGAGATTGCTAGATTGTCTATAACTTGGCCTATGCACGCTCTCCCGAGGTTCAGCAGTAGGCCCATCAGTTTCAACAGTTTCTGCTTTTCGCCTTTATTCAACAACCCACCCCATCATTTTACCTGATCTACTCTGTTTAGTCTCTTATCTTTATCAACCACATCTTCTTCCTCCACGGCTTGCCCCAGATCCTCTCAGTGTCAGTTACCGCCATCTCTGAAGACAGTATCCACGCCTGAACTGTAGATTCTTTTCCATCCCTGTTCTGATGATGAAAACATCCCGTTCCTCAGATGCTTTCTACTGTTTCTTCCAACGTCACCATCCACTCTTCGGTTTCGGTCCTTCCCTCCCTCGCCATCCACTCATTTTTCCTGCCCTTAGTTGACATTCCGCCATTTCTTTTAAAGTGAATCCTTACAGCCGAAATTTCAGATAAAAGGTCTTTGCCCTTGGCTACTTTGCCCTTTGTTGCCCTCTTCAGCCGCCATCTTCAGCTGCCGGGTGTACTTTTTAATCCACCAGATCTGTAACCGAAGGGGGCCTTCGGTAATCGGGGAAGTTTGAGCTAAAGTGGTTGCGGAAAACCCGGAGATGGTCCTGCCCTACAGCTCAAACTTCAGGAGACTAGCTTCCCACTTTAGCAACCCAGACAGTTACCACCTCTATATCTAGTTGTCCTCTCTAAGGTATTACCCTGCCTCCAGACTCGTTTTCAAAGTCAATTTCGCACCTTTTTGGCTCATTGTCCACCGCTTTCTGCTCCCGTGCTCCACCATAAACCTCATCAGATGCTCATGTTTTGACATATCTTTTAAAGTTCCATTCCGTTACTCTCGCGCTTTACGTCTCCTTTCGTTTCTGCACTCTGTCCCGGCTTCTCGGCTCTGCTGTCTGAAACCAGCAATGTTTCCCTCGGCCCCAATATCGACCCAGTGTTGGCTCCTCTCCAATAATGTAAGTCCTCACCACCCAAGATGTGGTCCACAGTGACATCAGACTCTCAACTACTCAAGAAGTAGCAAGTTTCCAATGCCTCCAATGCCCCCAATGACTCCACTCCATAAAAGTGGAACGCAGCCATGCACGCGATGTCATCCCCTACGGAGACTCCACGAAAGGTATGCCGATCTGCTCTCGACACGCGAAGTTTTCATCGGTTCCAAAGTTCCAAAGGTTCGTAGGTGCTGCAGAGGTCGTCGCTTCATTGGCCTTCAACATGCTTTCATGGAAAATCTGCATGCTTCATGGCACATAATCACTTTCCGACGATTGTTGGTACATGCTGCATCTCTAGAATCCAAGAACCCAAGAACCCAGTACACCACTAGCATGATGATGAAGCAGCACGAGGCCCACGAAAGGAACCCATGGCTGCCAACATTCCCGAGGCTCTTATTGGATTCTAGGGACGGATTACTCCGCCCAAGATTCGGGTTCGAAATTCGACGTCCGCCTTCCCCGGATTCTGTACCTGGCACGCTCCCCAACGTCTCGAAACGCAGGAGCTCGGACTCCGTACTGGTTAACCACACGTGGTTCGATGGATTCCGACGCCAGCCGGGGAGGGAATATTCTAAGTATGTGCTGCTTCCGGATGCCGAGAATTCTCCCTCTTGTCCGTCAGGCAGTCTAACTCGGCGAAATCCTTCCGGCAGCCATCTCTAGCTGTAATAATTTATCGAAATATTTTCTTCTTTAATTTTAAATTAAAAAAATTCAAATGACCTTTCAAAACAACTTACAACAGCAGATTATAAACTTCAAGGCTCCGACGAAATTATACGCATGGTAAGAATGTTTTTTTCAGGGGCTTCCCTTTTGGGTTCGGTGATAATCGTTTTCTCCCAGTCTTAACTTACTAAGAATGTGGCAAGCTCGTTAACTATACTCTTAGTTACCACTTTATTTTAGTCGTTGGCATTTTTTCCTGACGTCGTTGGTTTAGATGGATTCTCTAGCCTGAAGTAGGAAAGATTTGTTATAAGAGTATGAGCTGAGAGGGAGAGGATTTATAGGAGTATCTGCCAAGAGGTAGAGGCCAGTACCGCAGTATCGGAAACGTCCAAAGAGCAGGGACGACTCCGCATCACTGATCATTCGTTGTCGGCCCTGCGCGCACATCTGTACGACTTGTCTTCACCAATTGCACCAACAAGTGTACAGCGCCCATAAGCGCAATACTTTTCCTCTCACTTTATCACTTTCCACTCATTTGAATACATCACGTATTAATCCGAGGTTTTGTCTTTTTCCCCCCCGCGCTATGAAAGTTCTGTTTCGGTCCATTTAAATGTCAAACAATGTATGTTTTTCATATGCATGTTAATGTTGCAGTCCGAAAGTTCTTCTAAGGTGTAACGAACTAATTTACATAGAGGGCTTCAGCAAACACCATTGATGACACCTGTTTCGATTACCTGGAAGCAATGTAATGTTTTCTATAATTGACCAGATTCCAGGAATTGGTGTTGGTATCTTGCTATTTCACACAATTCAGGTTTCATTACATACTCATTCTAAATGAATAATTTACCTGACTTCACCCTGTAAAATAAAGTATAACTTCAAATTTTGGTAATATAAACCATTCAAAACGTATATATAATCTCGTATATAAAAACAATAAGAATATTTGTATATACAAGATCTTGATAATATAAATTATTTCAAATCTGAATCTATCTCAGTCACTTTTAAATGTGTAATTTGAATGAGTCATATCATAACCAATAAAGTTGAATCTTCATATGTGCAATTTTGACTTGGAAGGATTCTAGTACTTCGAGGAAAAGTTTCTACGCTTCATTATGTCTTGAATCAAATAGTCACATCCTTTGTGCATCGTGCATACAAAGTGTATCATCATGTATTTATTTACAATATATAATTTTTTCATAATTTTGCAAATTTTCTTCGCTGATTTTTATTATAAATATTCAATATTTCACCGCTCAAATCTCTACAATTATCTTCATCATCCTTCAACTTCATCGCATCTTTGAGTTTCCCGTCTATCAACCCTTTCAATTCATAAATCTAACACCACCATGATTTGTTGACCATTCCTCTTCCCCGCTTGACACACTCACTTAAAAAAGAAACCGATTATGCGTGTGGTATGTAATAGATTGATTATGATCAAGTTTCAATCTACGTCCACCTTTGCTCACATAAGATTCGTATACTCATAAATTCAAATATGTTTCTTATACAAAAAGGACAAGGTCTGCCCTAGTTTTGAAATCTATGCTGCTGAATACCGTTGAGGTGTTAAACTAAGAATATTGATTCTCCCACATCCGACCCCTTTTACGAACAAATCCAAATCCAGCATCGACAAGAAGGCATGGTCCTCTGTAGTGCATCCATCCTGACTTATCTTGACATCCGTGTATTGAGGTTAAATTAAGCGGACGTTCTATGCCAATAATCATGGGCCCTAGAAGATAGAACCCGGGGTACCGATGCTCGCTGGACAAGTCCGCTCATTGGTCACCACATTGAGAACTGACGTACGAACTCATGCCCATAATGGCAGGAAAGACTGTCAAAATAAGAAGGTATGGGTTTCACGTAGTACAGTCAAAGTCCACCAGTTATCAGGACGCCCGGGCAGGCCCGACATCAGCAGGCTCCCGCCTGTCCCGGTCAACCGTGACCGACCCATCCGATACCCAAATGGTTGTGGTGCGGGCCGAATTGTGGCCTCCATTGGCCCTTGGTCATCTCGAAAATTCTCTACGGGCCCTCCGGTCCTTCCTTGTGCCAAACAAATGTACGATACTCTTTGCTAGGAAGACCGGTCGGGATTCGGGAACCGGGGGAATAATATATCCCTGTCACAAGCGCGTCTGCATTCCGGTCAACGTCCGGTTTGCCGTCAGAGCACTTATTCCACTGCTGCCTCTCGTGCTGCTGTGGCGAAACCACGCCACTCGCCAACACTGCCGCCGCACCTCATCCCACAACCAGTGATAGTTCTACCGCGTGATCAGGGAATCACAGGCGCAGAGATCTTCACGTAGTAAAGCGACCACAGTAGATGAGCACGGAGAGGGACAGAGAGCAACCGTGTGACGGCTGAAGAAAATCCGACGATTTGTGCCTCGTAGATGTACGGCAAATCGGTGTGATCTTTGCGCTGGAAATCCCCCGGACAACCGAGATCCAGATAGTGCAAGAATGTAACGCGTGCGCAGTTCAACTGGTTGCGCAACATGGTTGTCGGGAAAATAGAACCGGGGGTCCAGCAAAGTGAGATCAGAAAGGACCGGACGTACACCCTCTTTCCTTTCTGTCACCATCTGCGGCATCGGGTACATCTCTGGGTACACTTACAAGTGAGGCTGGTTCAAAGATAGCACAATCAGATGGATTTTGTTGTCTAGCTCTGGATCGGTAATTGACCTTCTCAAGGCTATGGCTGAACTACGCCAAGGGGAAGTGGGGGAACTCGTTTGGGCCTGTACAAGTGTACGTTAAAGAAATCTAAGGTCGGGATGCTTGCAATATTTGTTCGAACTTCGACGCATGAGCTACTCCCAACATGATTCCATCGAACGAGGGATCTTACTTGGGAATTGGACCGACGAGACTACTCACATGACCACGGAATTCACAGATTCTAGCGACATGGTTGGTGCGCACTACTTAGTTGTCCATGCTTTGGAGGCTTATAAAATCTTTGCCTAGAACAAACTCGGATATTCAACGCCACCTTCGTTCCTCGACCACAAGAGCCTGACTCTCCATGAAAGCCCCACCAACTTGTTTGTACTGTTATGGGATCTTTATGCCAACCAATTTCTAGACTCGGGAGTCCAAAAGAACCACTATGGCCAAGAATATTTCCCACTTATAAATTTTTTACCTGAAAAAAAAGAAGTCCAAAAGTCTTCTATGCAACCAACACCTGGTCATTATGCTATGCAATACCCAGTATCGTAAGATAGTTGGTAAATATACTAATTTTGATGATAGTTTTCATGAAGATTAACTAAGATTCTTAATAAATGTGAATAGTGAAGATGTTATAAATAAATTCCAATCATATTCCAACTAAGTAAAGAATCATCCTTGAGATTACTGTCGAATATAGCTTATGAGGTTAACGCTAAGCCATTTGGCACTTTTCCACTGAATCATTCAAAACTGATTTTAATAAATCATTTCAAGTTTTCATATTTCCAAGATACCACACATTTAAACTTGTAGAGATGTTAGGTATAATTCAAATAAATTTTCAATCTAAGTTGTACTCAGTTAATGCCAACTTTGTAATTATCTTTACAATTATATTTACAATTATATTTATAACTTTGATTTTTTTTAAATATGTAATAAAGGATGGAATAGATAATATATGTATATACATATTTGATAAAATTAGAATGATAGATTAATGAATTAATAATATGTATAATTTGAGATCTATCTCTAGTGAAGCAGTTTTTTTTTCTTCAAATAATTTTGGTCCTTCAGCAAACCAAACTGCCAATAACAACAAGAGTCACGTGCGAACGAAAATTTTAGTTTTGTTTTGACTTGAACTGACGAAGGAACAAATGAGCAAGGGGACACGAGTTAGCAAATCTCTGATTCCGAAGACTGACTACGAAGGAACGAACGAAACATTATTTTCTGACAACTGTCATAATAACTTCCTTCTTCATCGCTTGGAGAGCCAAATGACGTACCAAAGTATCTACTACTACATCTACTGTAAGCTCCCCTCATCCACAGTTGACTGCAAGTAAGATACGGCGGTGAAATCCCGCACGCGCCTATAGTGCCCTTAACGTTCCCACAACTTAAACAAGGAATTTCCAAGATGTTGGGATGGGGCTCCAACAGTCCAGTCACAGATTTCAAGCATCAACACTCCAAGAAATAAGGTCCCTCTAAATGCAACACGTCGCTAGTTGCACTAGCTCACCACCGGGCTTTTCAATTCTTCGGAATTAAGTAAAATTAGTGATTTATTTTTTATTGTATATCCATCTATGAGTTTCACATCTCTGTTTCATTTATTAAGCAGTTCGCCTAGAATATGCTATCTTGGAGTAAAACGTGAGCGGTTAATTAGCCCTCACTCTCTTATAGCAACTAATTCTAAGATAGAGTGTTCGACCAATCACTGAACGTACAGTAGGGTGTTAGATAATTAACCACTCCCATTAAAAAATATGTTAAGACATTCAATATGAGTTGAAACGTTCAAATTTCTAGAGCTCAGATTTGAACATGTTGATTGAGCTTTTTTCCATAGTCATCATTATATCCAGATTTTTCAAATTTAGATGACAAGTTTTGACTCAAGTTCAAAAATTGAATATCATCACAATA